CAATGGTTCCGTCACTGGGACCCATGTTACTATTATTATTACTATTATTACTATTGTAACACTTAACACGCCATCTACCCTCTTAGGTTATTTTTTAAAAAATATATTTATACTGATTTCAGAGATGAAGGGAAAGGGAGAGAGATAGAAACATCAATGATGAGAGAGAATCATGGATCAACTGCCTCCTGCATGCCCCACACTGGGGATCGAGGTTTCAACCCAGGCATGTGCCCTTGACTGGAATCGAACCTGAACCCTTCAGTCCACAGGCCAACACTCTATCCACTGAGCCAAACTGGCCAGGCCAGACTAGTTTATTTTTCTTTTCTTAATCCTCACTTGAGGATATATATTTCCCCCATCGGTTTTTAGAAAGAGTGGAAGGGAGGAAGGGAAGGGGAGAGAGAGAGAGAGAAATATCGATGTGAGAGACAGACATGGATTATTTGCCTCTTGGATGCACCTGACCAGGGTCAGGGATTGAACGTGCAACCCAGGTAGGTGCCCTTGATCAGGAATCAAACCCACGATTCTTCTAACCACCGGCCAGGCGCAGGCACATGCTTGTGGAGCTGTGATCTGAGGCTGGAATAGGACCGGACCCGTCAGCACACAGATCCTCCGCGCATCTCGGGTTGGGGCAGGGAGACATCATGGTAACCTTGAGGCCGGGGGTGGGGCGTAGGGAGACACCATGGTGACCCCAAGACCAGGTGGCAGCGGGCTGGCGGCTGTGCGGCGGACCTGGGGCGTGGGCCTAGGGCGTGGGCCTGGGGCGCGCTGAGGCCTGAGCTGCTGTCCGCACCCCTCTCCACCCACAGGCTCTGCTCCTGTGAGCTGGGTGCGTCCAGTGGCCGGCACCTGGCTGACGCGCTCCTGCAGAACCAGGGCCTGACTCACCTGAGTCTGAGGAGGAACCGCCTGGGCGACGAGGGGGTACGCTCTCTGAGCGAGGCCCTGAGCCACAAGGACTGCAGCCTGCAGAACCTGGAGTAAGTGCCCCGGCCTCGGTCAGTGGGGACCCGCGCCTGTGGTCAGTGGGCCACCTGCGGTGTGCAGGCCAGTGTTCCAGGCGGGGGTTCCTCTGCGTGTAGACGGGGGATTCTTGGCACAGGGGAGCCTTAGCTTGTGTTGGAGGTGGGAGTGTGCGGGGTGCATAGTGGAAAGCGGGGTGACTGCTAAGTCCGGGCCCCCTGGGTCTGATGCCTGGGGAGGCCTCGGGGAGCTCTGCATAGAGCCGCGTGCATGGCCCTGGGTCATTCCAGTCGGGGAGACGGTGACATGGCCGCAGGAGCAGGTGCCTCGGGCAGAGTCTGGGGGAAACAGCACTGGCGCCCAGGAATTTTCCCCCGTAGGTCGCTCAGCCAGGACTCATCATGCCCCCAGCCCCCAGCGGTGCCAACACGGGGAAAGGCCGTGCTCCGCCAGGGGCGGGGATCCTTATAGACCCCGCAGACCCCGAGCTCAGGGTTTTACTCGGCGCTGGTCCTGTGGATGCGCCTGCGTCCCCTGTCCTGAGACCCCAGACATTCAGGAGGAAAGCAGCCGTTCAAGTCTGGCCGGCATGGCTCAGTGGTTGAGCATCAACCTATGAACCAGGTGGTCATGGTTCCATTCCCTGTCAGGGCACATGCCTGGATTGTGGGCTCCACTCCCCAGTAGGGGGCATCTAGGACATCATAGCAACTGGTCAACAGGTGGACTGTCTGCCCCCTGGTGGTCAGTGCACATCATAGTGAGCAGTTGAGCAGCCTTAGCATACATTGGCATATTATGCTTTGAATGATTGAACGGCCAACTGGTCAACCAGACACTTAGCATATTAGGCTTTTATTATATAGGATATTAAAAATCTCTTTGCTTTTAGATTTTTTTTCTTTATTTTTATTTTGACACTATTCCTCTCTCCCTTCTGCTCTCTTTAAAAATCAATGGGAAAAAAATCCTTGGGTGAGGATTAACAACAACAACAAAAGACTGAGGCCCTGGGATAGTTTTCCCTCTTGCACATTTAAAGAAATCTTTATTATTGAAAGCATTATGTAGCCCCCCCCCCCCAACTCTTGCAGACTGCCCCCTCCCAGGC